GATCTACTGGAAATTATCTACCCGAGTAATATGTGATTTGATTGATACAAAAGTATAACTTGTGTGTTGAAGAAACCGGTGATTTCTGGCAGCTCCTACAGTGACGAACGGTCGACCTCAACCCTTGTTTATCAATCGCTGTATCTAGCTTTTCTATTTTTTTTTTCCGTCTCCACCACAATAAATGCTATATTATCACTATAGTTGACTGGTGGAAATTTTGGAGGAAGGACGCTTTTTCTGTAGTAATAATTGCTTCTCGTTGTGTATATTGCGACCACTGGTAACTACAGGTTATATGAAATTCACAGTAACGTCTGGTATTTCAAGAAAAAGAAACTAATGAAAGTCACTCCACTCCACTAAGTACCATTATAATACTGGTTAGTTGCTACTACAACACTGTATTCTGCTATTCACTGGTATCACTAGATTATATGCGAGTACACTAGCAGGCCAGGAAGATTATTAAAAACAGCTGACCTGTGGTAAGTTTCTGGCGACTTCTGGCACTGCCTCTATAGGCTTATCACTTCATTTACAAATTCACCTGTTTTCAAATGACACTTTAGCCTTTATCAACAATATACTAGGGAGCCACTGTAGTATACACTATACACTATGTATACTCAATGTTATCAGGGAGACTTTCTTTCCTCTGACACGAAAAGTTCAATTATTATTATTTTTTCACACGGGACACAGGCCTATGATTCCCCTCTGGCAGTAAACTCTGCTAGGTAGTGCACACTAATTCTCCTTTTTTGACTCAGTATATAATGTTTTCCGCCCAAGATTGGTTCCAGGCGCTAGAGGGATGTATCGTATAGGATTGATGGCACAAATTAAAATTCTAGCACGTAAGAGCGACCGTGAAAACACCAGAAAACCCGGAGCACAACGAGGCACGCTGACACTCTGTCTGGTGACATTAACTGACGCCCTACCTAACAACCTGTCGGTATTTTATACCATTTTAATGTACAACAGATGTTGCTAGGTGCCTGTCTCTCCTCGGTAGACAGCCATTGCAAACAGCAGCAAGTTGCCCTGGGATCTGCTGCTTGCACGAGCACCATCGACCTTCCCCAAGAGGTCCAAGAAGCCAGTGACTCCGTTAGCAGCCCGATGGAGAGCTCCCCTAGGGACATGTCAGCGTCCTGGTGGACGCCAAGTTGATTGAAGATCCCAGGCCCTCGTGTGCACGGATGTTGAAGCTTGAGGAACTGAGTAGACACTGCCTGTGGCACACCTGACAGCTGCCTCGCGGTCGAACTCCACGATGCTGTCCCTGTAGTGGAAGTTCCTGTGAGCCCGGCACTCCCTGTAGTGCCATCGCTGACATCGTGGGTTAGGGGAGAAGTACCCTCTACAGATGGGGTGGCGCTGGGAGTTGGGTGGGTGAGGCGGGGGAGACGCGCAGGTGTGAGGCGTTATGAGAGGGTCACTGTTTACTACACACGCCCTCCCCTTCCCCCCCAGCGGAGAGGGGGGAGGCGCTGACTGGTCCTGACTCGACAACACCAAATCCTCTGAAACTGCACAACACTTCAACTATTTACGCTGAAACGATGCACTGGGATGTCCGTTCGCTGCTCAGCAGTTATATATTCCTGGTTGATAAATTAGACACATGTGCAACTCTTGGGTATCTTTATTGAGGAAACGTTTCGCCACACAGTGGCTTCATCAGTCCATACAAAGGAGAATCTCTGAACCTATCCGATGTTATCCTGACGCCAAATGACTTCGAACAGGCGATAAATGACATGCCCATGCACTCTGCCCCAGGGCCAGACTCATGGAACTCTGTGTTCATCAAGAACTGCAAGAAGCCCCTATCACGAGCCTTTTCCATCCTATGGAGAGGGAGCATGGACACGGGGGTCGTCCCTCAGTTACTAAAAACAACAGACATAGCCCCACTCCACAAAGGGGGCAGTAAAGCAATAGCAAAGAACTACAGACCAATAGCACTAACATCCCATATCATAAAAATCTTTGAAAGGGTCCTAAGAAGCAAGATCACCACCCATCTAGAAACCCATCAGTTACACAACCCAGGGCAACATGGGTTTAGAACAGGTCGCTCCTGTCTGTCTCAACTATTGGATCACTACGACAAGGTCCTAAATGCACTAGAAGACAAAAAGAATGCAGATGTAATATATACAGACTTTGCAAAAGCCTTCGACAAGTGTGACCATGGCGTAATAGCGCACAAAATGCGTGCTAAAGGAATAACAGGAAAAGTCGGTCGATGGATCTATAATTTCCTCACTAACAGAACACAGAGAGTAGTCGTCAACAGAGTAAAGTCCGAGGCAGCTACGGTGAAAAGCTCTGTTCCACAAGGCACAGTACTAGCTCCCATCTTGTTCCTCATCCTCATATCCGACATAGACAAGGATGTCAGCCACAGCACCGTGTCTTCCTTTGCAGATGACACCCGAATCTGCATGACAGTGTCTTCCATTGCAGACACTGCAAGGCTCCAGGCGGACATCAACCAAATCTTTCAGTGGGCTGCGGAAAACAATATGAAGTTCAACGATGAGAAATTTCAATTACTCAGATATGGTAAACATGAGGAAATTAAATCTTCATCAGAGTACAAAACAAATTCTGGCCACAAAATAGAGCGAAACACCAACGTCAAAGACCTGGGAGTGATTATGTTGGAGGATCTCACCTTCAAGGACCATAACATTGTATCAATCGCATCTGCTAGAAAAATGACAGGATGGATAATGAGAACCTTCAAAACTAGGGAGGCCAAGCCCATGATGACACTCTTCAGGTCACTTGTTCTATCTAGGCTGGAATATTGCTGCACTCTAACAGCACCTTTCAAGGCAGGTGAAATTGCCGACCTAGAAAATGTACAGAGAACTTTCACGGCCCGCATAACGGAGATAAAACACCTCAATTACTGGGAGCGCTTGAGGTTTCTAAACCTGTATTCCCTGGAACGCAGGAGGGAGAGATACATGATTATATACACCTGGAAAATCCTAGAGGGACTAGTACCGAACTTGCACACGAAAATCACTCACTACGAAAGCAAAAGACTTGGCAGACGATGCACCATCCCCCCAATGAAAAGCAGGGGTGTCACTAGCATGTTAAGAGACCATACAATAAGTGTCAGGGGCCCGAGACTGTTCAACTGCCTCCCAGCATACATAAGGGGGATTACCAACAGACCCCTGGCAGTCTTCAAGCTGGCACTGGACAATCACCTAAAGTCAGTTCCTGATCAGCCGGGCTGTGGCTCGTATGTTGGTTTGCGTGCAGCCAGCAGCAACAGCCTGGTTGATCAGGGGCTGATCCACCAGGAGGCCTGGTCACAGACCGGGCCACGGGGGCGTTGACCCCCGAAACTCTCTCCAGGTAAACTCCAGGTATTCCTGGTTCTTACCTGATCCGATATCCTCAGTATTTTATTAACATCGCCTTTGTTTATGCCCATCATCCACTTATACACTTCGATATCTCCCCTCGTTTTACCGTTTCTCCAGAGGCTCTAAGACTATCTCTATATGGGTGATTCGTTATACAGTGAATCATTTTAATCACCATTCTCTAGGATTTTACAGGTGTAGATTATGACGTATATCTCTCGCCTGCGCTCCAAGGAGTACAGGTCAAGTGATTCCAAGCATTCCCAGCAGTTAAGATGCTTGACGGAACGTATACATGCAGTGAAAGTTAAGATAAGATTTCGTTCGGATTTTTAACCCCGGAGGGTTAGCCACCCAGGATAACCCAAGAAAGTCAGTGCGTCATCGAGGACTGTCTAACTTATTTCCATTGGGGTCCTTAATCTTGTCCCCCAGGATGCGACCCACACCAGTCGACTAACACCCAGGTACCTATTTGCTGCTAGGTGAACAGGACAACAGGTGTAAGGAAACGTGTCGAAATGTTTCCACCCGCCGGGTATAGAACCCGGGCCCTCCGTGTGTGAAGCGGGAGCTTTAGCCACCAGGCCACCGGGCCTGTACATTCTCCAGATCTGCGATTTCACCTGTCTTGAGTGGAGATGTTAGTGTACAGCAGTGTTCCAGGCTAGAAGGAACAAGTGATTTAAAAAGTATTATCATTGGCATAGCATCCCTTGTTTTGAAAGTTCTCATTATCCATCCTATCATTTTCCTTTTTCCTCATTGGACTGAAGAGGTCACTATGTGGCGGAACGTTTCCAGAATGAAGATACCAAAAAGTTGCAACTGTGTCTCATATATCATCATGTCGGTTTTGTAGACCATTTATTCACACAGGTTGGACGACCGTTGAAGAATTCCTGGTATCAAGACTCAATTATGTTGCAGTGTGTGACAGATGTGATAAATGGATTAGAAAACTGACATGTTGAAGAATGCAATAAAGTTGGTAGAATTACCGACAATATGTAAAGTAAAAGGACACAAGTGCAACTAATGTGACATTTTATTGTGGCAACGTTTCGCTTGACAAAGCTTCTGGAGAGCGAAACGTTGCCACAATAAAATGTCACATTAGTTGCACTTGTGTCCGTTTACTTTATATATGTTGAAGAATGAGACACTTGTGCAACATTTTGGAATCTTTATAGACGAAACGTTTCTTCAAGACTGATGGACTGAACACATTGATTCCAGGCTGAGGGACTGATTACCACATTCCCCTTAATTTCCACCGTTCTTCTTTGTATTGGACTGACGAAGTCACTGTGTGGCGAAACGTTTCCTCAATAAAGATTCCCACATGTGGCATGTCGGTTTTTGTAAAACATTTATAAGAATATCTATCTTTTTGCCCGGATTGTCTTTTCATACTCCGGAATAACGCTAACAACCGAAATAACATCAATTAAAAACGTTTTTGTAGGAGATTTTCAGGGGAATTATTTACATATATAAAAATTATTATATTTTTTGAGTTAGAATATTGAGATAGTTTAGAAAGTAGTGATATATAAGAGGATATATTGTGAGAGTGTTGTTATGAGGCAGCTGGTGACACCATGTTTATGTTTGTTGATGGTGGTGGCGAGTCTTACACCAGCACTACTCACACTTCCACGCTATCATGGCTACCGTTGACAGGTTGTACGCCCTGTACAACACTATTGCAGATGCTAAAGACAAGGCAGGCGAGGTGAGGCATCTTTTTAAACCCTATTATCGTCTGTGTGTTCGGGAATTTGAGGTGGAAGTGAGCGGCGGCGGCGGCGGTGGTGGAGTCAGCTACCCGCGTGTCTGTTCCTCTAATTTTCAGTTTTATTAGTTGTAATAGATTCTTCTGGATGGTGCCGTTGTGTTGGTGAAGGGCTCTTGATCCGGGGAATTAGACGTGTCATTCCCTGTCATCGGGTTGATCCTGGTCGTCTCCACGTAGGTCTGGCCATCCCCAGGAAGATTAGCGTCTTTTATTAATAAATAATAAATAATAATATTTTTATGTTAGCATGATACATGTTTGTACAGAGAAGTGTAACAGTTGGGTGTACATACCAAAAGTTCATTTATATTCAGAGCATTTCAGGCAAACAATGTATTGTATTAATAAATAAATTATTACGAGAGTCGTGTTAGCATTATACGTTTTTTGACAGTAATTGGAAAATTGTAATTGACTATGGGGTTAAAAATCTGGATGGAAATGTCATTTTTACTTTTTTTTGGAGGGGGGGGGGAGGTTATACCTTTGATATACCTCTGAAGAATTTCGAGAGTATATCTACTCTCTGAGCCCAGCCATGGGCCAGGCTCGTCTGGTGCTCGCCTGGTCAACCAGACTGTTGCTGCTGTAGGCCTGCTGCCCCACATATCCATCACAGCCTGGTTATATTATGCTAGGTTACTTTACACTATGTATGCTAATTGTACTTGTGTTTACCTGTACCTAAATAAATTTACTTGCTAATTACAAATTCTCATATATCAAGGAATGGCTCACTAATAGGCAGCAGAGAGTTTGTATGACAGGAGTGAGGTCAGAATAAGGAACCATCACACATGACATTCCCTAAGGATAAGCTCTGGGGCCCTGGCTCATAATGAGCATTAAGGTCCTCCGTACAAACCAGATATTTGACACCGACAAATTAATGAAGTAACACTTGCAAAAATATTTATTTTTGTCCTTGCTTCAAGAAATGCATGTAATATATAATTACCAACTACTTGTTGGACCTCTGTTACTTTTTACACTTCCATGCATACAGATCCATACATCATAGGAGGAGTAATCATTTCTTGTTCAAAATGTTATTTTGGAAGATATAAGGAAAATTAATACTGGACAGAATAATAGTAATAATAATAATAATAAAGATATTTATTTCTTTGTTAAGGTTACAATTTGTAATTACAATTTTGGTTTGTTAAGCACATAGAAAGCTGCTATCATGCCAGGGCATTATTTCTACAAGTACATGTACAAGGTATACAGGCCTAGCTGACATCAATGACATGCTACTGTAAAGAAAGCCGCTTGTTATGCAGAGCATTTTGGGCAAATTAGGTCAGTTTTGTCCCAGGATGCGACCCACACCAGTCAACTAACACCCAGGTACCCATTTTACTGATGGGGAACATAGACAACCGGTGTAAGGTAGCATGCCCAATGTTTCTACCCTTGCTGGGAATCAAACCCAGACCCTTGCCATGTGAAGCAAGAGCTTTAGCCATCAGGTCTTGCAGCATATATTTGTCTCGCACCTGGCAGAATGTAAATGAAGACTTGTAGCATATTCAGATTAGTGGTATCGGTATCTGTGGGTACTGGCTAATTTTGATGGTATCGATATTGGTAAAAAATTTGATAGTAGCATCCCTAGCCAAAACACAGTAAATAAAGCCAAAATATATGTGAGTGAAGAGAGGTCATATTAGGTATAAGCAGCAGTCAGGGTCAGGTTTAAGATGCTCATGGTACAAGTAAAGCCACTTAACCCTTTGGGGTTCGACAGGTCCTCTCAGAGACTTGTTCTCAGGGTCAGCCAAATTTCAAAAAAAAAAAAAAAATTCTTAGGGAAAAGATTCTCTATCTTTTCATATCATAATGACACCAAAAATATGAAATTTGATGGAAAACTTAGGGAATTATGCTCTCGTGAAGTTAGCGGTCTCGACGATTTTATGCATCGGCGATTTTGCCCACTTTGAGCCCTATTTTCGCCAATTCCAGTGTACTAGTCGACAAAAACCATAACTATTTTGCTAAAACTCCATTATTTTTTTTCTATCGAATGAGTACAAGAAACCACCCATTTACTGATTTCAACTATCCAATAAAATGGTCAGAATTTAGCAATTTTTGCCAATTTCACACAAATTTCAAAAGATGCCAATTTCCGAATAGGGTCCAGAATAAACAAGAAAGACATTCCTGGCACTAAAATAACAAGTTCTCTGTTTGTTAGTCACATCCCCAGGCCCCTCTTATATTTCTTTAGCTTTCCACTTTGAATTTTTATTCTTACAAAAAAAATAAGATTTACTGTTATGCAGACTACTGCATTAGTGTAGAAATTGTATAAATAATATCAGCGCACTTGTGATAGAATATTAGACTCACCAGTTGATGTGTATTGGACGCTTGGCATGATTTGTTTACTTTTAAACTTCGGTAAAAATCGAACATTTCTGTTACTTTGAGCTCAATTTCAAGGTACTTTTCATTGTAAAACTAATCAAAATCGTCTCAATTTCTGTAATATGTCTTCCATTCTATAAAACGAGACCAAGAAAACTAGAATACAACAATAAATACCATACGAAAATACAGTGCAAAGTTGCTGTTTTAATTAAAAACACGGTCAAAGTTTTTTTTTTTCTCATTGCGCACTGTGTGCTGCAGGATTTTTTTTTATACTGCGCACACTGACCACATAGACCCATTCTTACATATGTAAGCCTACCAGCTTTCTCTCACTAGATTTGAGGGCGCTAGAATTTAGGCGTACTAGTACATCAAAAAACCCTGGGTCGTAAGACGTACTAGTACATCCGAAACCCCCAAAGGGTTAATTTCTTTGTCAGTGTATAAGAGGTAAACCATTGTCTAAAATAGGGATGTTCCAAAGTATCAGCATTAATAGGTATCAGCTAATTTTGATGGCGGCTGTATTGGCTTAAAATTGAGTATTGGCATTAATGGGTATCGACTAATTTTTATGGTATCAGTACCAGTATCAGCCTAAAATTGAGTATCAGTATTGACAAAATTTTGGTATCTACCTATCCCAAGTGTAGAATCATGTAGGTCAAAGTACTGGAGATTATGTATCCTGCTTTTAGTTCAGTTGTATTAGAAAATGCAGTCAATGGTGTTTCCAATCACTGTTGTCTGTTCAGCTCAGGTTCATTGAAAACTAGTTGGGCCTCAATCTAGTTCACTAGGTTTACTTTGTCATTCCCATGGTTTATGCAAGCATTGGTCTAATAATCCCTATCATATGCATATTTGCACTCGCTCGGTCTGGCCATGGGCTAGGCTTGTCTGGTGTTTGTCTGGTCAACCAGGCTGTTGCTGCTGGTGACCTGCTCCTTGTAGTTCATTTTAATACAGAAGCAGCTAGTATACTGGAGATGGTCGAAGATGTGGAGAGGGAGTTCACATGAATTGAAATTTGTATCAAGTATAAGTGTACTGTGCTATGATTATTGAAATGAAATTTTTACTATACTGTATTTAGTCATGTTACTTTCAAGTACAGTGGTACCTCGAGTTATGAACTTAATTCGTTCCAGAAGGCTGTTCAAGTGCCAATACCGAATGAATTTGTTCTCATAAGGAATAATGTAAATTAGAATAGTCCGTTTCATACCCCCAAAAATACACTTACAGAAGCACTTACAAAAATACACTTACATAATTGTTCGAGTTGGGAGCTGTTCGAAAATCGAGGTACCACTGTACGTATATAAATTTATTATATTTTTAATTTTTTTTTTTTTTAATTTCTCAGCATAAAGCAGAGTTTGCAGAAATACTGACTGGAGTAAAGGGTGGCACAGGAGAAAGACGACTCACCTCTCAGTTCATTGCACGCTTTTTTCAGCATTTTCCAGCCCACCAGGAGCAAGCCCTAAATGCTTTGTTTGATCTCTGTGAAGATGATGAAGTTACAGTAAGTTACAAGTAGATTCTTTGTTTTGATAGTTGATTTGAATTATAAGACTTGTGTGAAAATAGTATAAAATGACTAAGAATTTGATGATTAAGAGACATTTGCAACAGTTGGGTATCTTTATTGCATGTGTCATAATCATCAGTTAACACTTACAAGTACAGTATTCACTAAAACATTTTCACTAAGGTGAGAGATTGTTAAGTAATGACTTAAACTGTAGGTAATGAATGGCTAAAGACATAAACTTATTTTGTGAAGTAAACTTTGAATCATTTGCTTGAAGAAATCCTTAGTTTGCCTTGCTTGTGAAGGCTATAACTACGATGCCTTTTTTTCAGATTCGAAAACAGGCTATTAAAGATCTGCCCACTTTGTGCAGAGGTCGCACAGAATTGGTACCCAAGGTAGCAGACATCTTGGCCCAGCTGCTGCAGATGGAAGACCAGGTTGAACTGGCAGCTGTACAAAACTCCCTTGTCTCTCTTCTGAAAACTGATCCTAAAGGTTAAGAAGTTACTAGTTTATTTTGTTGAGCTGCCTTACTATTAATTCTTTTTTTTTTTTAAGTTAGGCATTTACCTTTTTTTAATTTCTAAGTATTTGATCTTATGATGAGCAGTTTTTTTATGGTTTGAAAAGTTATATACACTGTCATGGGCTGATTTCACACTGCTTCATCTGTTCACATTCAGTGAGGGTTTACTGACTTTCCAAGAAAAATTTATTTTGGAAATTGTCTCACTTAAGGAATTATTTCAGGTATTGATAGTTTCCATGATGTGTCAACCTTACTTGTTGTCCAAGGAACATTTAAATCTTTGTTTCTTCTGTAATGATTTTTTAACATACATTATTTTGAATTTTTAAAATTAAGAAATGTGTTATGTGTTGGGTATTCAGAGTTTAAATATAGGTGGTTGGGTATATATATGCATGTGTGTGTGTTTTGTGGTGTTGTGTACTATGGGTGTTTTGTATGTGTGTGTTTGGTAGAGTTGCATGTGTGTGTGTGTGTTATACAAAAATCATGGCACTGTAGTAATAAGAAAAGTGTTTCGGCTTTCATTAGAAGTAGGTGTAAAAAAAAAAATTTATAGAATTTTTTAATCCATTGACCAGTTCCTGTTTTTCCCCCTAATTATCTACCAGTTTTCTTGTAGCCTTGTTTTAAATTTTCTTCCCTTGATTTTGCAGGAACCTTGACTGGATTGTTTTACCAGATTGAACATAGTGAAGACGAGTTAGTACGAGAGAGATGCATTCGTTTTCTTCACACGAAGATAAAGTCACTTGGGTCACAAGTTTTCACAAGTGACGTAGAAACACTCATTCTCACCGAGGCAAAGAAAGTGTTGCAGGTAACTTAAAACTACTCGAGCATTTTTTTCAGGGTTCATTATTAGGTCGTGTGGCAAATTATCGATATAAGTGGTATCAGTCATTTTTTTACAGTATCTGTATCAACCCAAAATTTAATATAAGTGAATATTGGCTAAAAATTTAATTATTATTATTATTAACACACTAGCCGATTCCGACCAAGGCAGGGTGGCCTGAAAAAGAAAAACTTTCACCATCATTCACTCCATCACTGTCTTGCCAGAAGGGTGCTTTACACTACAGTTTAAAACTGCAACATTAACACCCCTCCTTCAGAGTTCAGGCACTGTACTTCCCATTAATGCATTTTAGGTAGATTCATCAGAAGAAGAGTTCACCCTTGTGATGGGCATACTTCGAGAATTAAAAACCTGCCAGACAGTGAAGGGTTACCAGCAATTGGTTGACCTGGTGGCTGAGCAAGTTGATTTCACCCGTCCCTTGGACCCGTCTGATGTTGAGAGCGTTCATCGCCTAACATCTTGCACAAAGCAGGCCCTGCCATATTTTTCTGTAAGTAGCTCTGTTGTGATGAATTTTTTGTAAATGTTAAATTTATTTTGTAACTTTTATGTCTTCTTAATTACATTTAATTTCACTTTTAGGTTTAGGTTTCAAATTTAGCCGAGTTAACTGTGGAAATACTAAAATAATATTGTCAATAATGTTGGTTAGGTTAAGGCCACTAAAATGGGTCACTATTATATAAATTATTTGTAATGTAATGAGGTGTTAGTAGACTAGTTAATTTCATCAAGACTAGTTTGTGTAGAAAAATAATTAAATGGAAGAAGCCCAGAATACGATCGATGATTTTCGTGCATGCACTCCCATGTCAGAATATCATCCAATATAATACCCACCAATTTTGATTCTTTTATGCATATTACTAAGTCTTTGTAATTATCATGGGAATTAGATTCATACCGCACTTCAAAAATAAGATATGGCAAGCTATTTCACATTGGTGTGTTGGGAAGGTAAATGGTGGAACCAAGAGCTGAAGCTCATCCCACACAAGTTCCAGTAGTTTTTTAACACACTGACCGTCTCCCACCGAGGCAGGGTGACCCGAAAAAGAAATAATTTCACCATCATTCACACTATCACTGTTTTGGCAGAGGCACACAGATATGACAGTTTAGATGTTCCTCAAAACAGCAGATATCCCAAACCCTTCCTTTAAAGCACAGACACTACTTCCCACCTCCAGGACTCAAGTCCGGCTAACCGGTGTCTGCGAATCCCTTCACAAAATATTACCTTGCTCACACTCAAACAGCACTGTGCTGTATACTGTTCTCATCAATTCTCTGTTTTCAGTCCCAGGTGCGTTCTACACAGTTTGTTGAATATATGTGGCGAGAAGTTGTACCAGCTCTTGACCACTTGGAAGCTGCTGTGAGTGATGGGGGTAACAATGCTGCACTCATCCTTGATCTTCTGAAAATTATAGCAGAGCTTGTTCCTCATGCTGGCAATTTAGAAGATATAGGAGGCAAAATTGTAACCATCTTTGATAAACTGTTGGTAGGTGATATAATTGAGTGTGATTTCTTTTCTGAATAAAAAAAATTGCAGTTTGTCATCTCAGTAGGAATCCCAAGTGTAATATGGAAATCTGGTGGATACATTTACATGTATAATAATGCACATAACAAAATTTTCTTCTTTCTTTCTCTTAATATACAGTATACACTGTACAGGCATACCTCATTAATATGGTGCTCACTTTAGAAAGCTTCGCTAATACTTTGCTTTTCAATTACATTCGTGTTTGTTATTTTTGGTGATTGCCTTGCTCTTGAGATGCTTTTTGGCAATTTTTAAGAAAATTTTATTATTTTACTTTTACATAATTTTTTTTAGGCCTAGTGCTATTGCACACTTTAATTGATAGTGTAAACATGTTTTTAGGCTTTAATATGCACTGGCAAGTGAATAAAAGGCTATGATTCGCTCTAAGGCAATATTGGCTTTATGGTGGTGGTCTGGTTTACTGTATATACAGGTAGGCCTGTATATACAGTAAACCCTTGCATAATGCCCAGGTTACATTCCTGAAAACTGGTGCCTCATTAAATAATAGTTTTGTGAAGTAAGAAACCTGTGGGGAAAATAGGGTTATTTTTCATGTTTGCTTTTAACTTCCTACTTTTAAAGGATCAAGTATATCAACAGCCCTTCCTCTGCTCCCTGAATGTATATCACATATTGTTTTAACTTTTTTTTTCCATAATATTCACATCACACCTTGCTATCATAGACTTCAGCTTCATCTTCACTGTAACATTCAAAGACTATGTCTCATTCAAAGAAAAGTAACAGTGCCACTGTTTTCTGATTTATTTCCTTTTTTGGATCTATTGATAAACTTCTTTCCCCAGATTCCTCTTCACTTCAGTCACCTTATTTTCCTTACTTATTTTATGTTTAATCTCGTCTTGCATGTGCCTTTCTTCCAGTATGCTCATATTCAAATGTGTAGATACAGTCGCTTCATCCATGCTCCTTCAGAATTGCGTTTGTGCGACTTTTGTTTCATTTATTTTTTCTCGCTACTGCTTTCAACTTAAGTTTTAAGTTGATTTAAAGCAACAACACTATTAGACCTTTTCATGAAGTATAAAAATATAATGCTGTACTTCAAGCTTGTTTTCTCTTAAAATCTAATCTAATCAGTGGATTTCTAAGTGATCTTTAATTAAAATATACTTGTTTTTATAATGTTTCTTCTTTTTTAGATGGAATAGATTGCCAGTTTATTAGTTGACTATTTGTTGTAATCCTATAACAGTTTTTCACAAAGTTTAGCACTCTCATATAAAATTAATAATTTGATTACTGTTTAATCTTATGGGCTTTGTGCTTTCTCATAAATATAATATTAATGTATTTGATTGCATTGTCAGGAAGTGATGCCACTACCTCCAGAAGGAGATGCAGCCACAGAGGCACTGGAAGGAGGAGTCAGCCTAGAGTTTTCCCGTGTAGAGTGTCTCCTCTTCGCTTTCCACCAACTTGCAAAGCAGAGTCCAGAATTCCTAACTGAAGACGCAGATCGACTAAAGGATTTCAGGATCAGGTTTGAAACTCTGTTATAATTTATATTAGGGGTCACCCTATCTTGATGGGAAACTGCTGATGAAAATTCCAGGCTTCATTTATTATACACATCTTGTTGATGTAATAAGCTTAGGATGTTAATATTACTTGGGTACATTGGTAAAATTGCTTGATAATTCACATTCCTTTGGGGAAGTTGTTTATCTTTTTGTCTATAATGATTTTGGATTTTTACTTCAGTGTTTTAAAATCCCAAAGGAGAGGTGTATTGGTGGTCATGCATCATGTGAATGCATTACTGTATTACCAGATTATCTTAAAATATTTATGACATCTTAGCTTCATTCAGACTCTCCTCCTTGACGTTCTGGGCTTTCAGGGTCTTTCCCAGATGTATTATTCTCCTGACTTGACAATGAAGATAACACTTAGTCAATCACTGATTTGCCAGAAGGGTGCCCACTTCACAGTTCAGATGACCCTCTAAACTACAGCATTCCTGTCCTTGCTGTACTTCCTACCTCTAGGACTAGTTCAGCTAATTAGTTTCCCTAAATTCCTTCATAAATGTTGCCATGCTCACACACCAACAGTACATCAAATTATAAAAACTACTTGCCTCCATTCACTCCAATCAAACACACTTGCACAAGTCTGTTGTATGCCCAAGGCTCTATCAATTGAAACCTCTTTTACCCCCTCCCTCCAACTTTTCTAGGACATCCCCTGTCCCTCCTTTCCCCCCATCCCAGATTCATACTCCTGGTTTTCTCAGTCCTCTCCAAATTTTCCAAACCACCTCAACAACCCCTCCTCAGCCCTCTGAATAATACTTTTAACAATTCCACATGTAATCTCGAAACCCTGAACTCTGCATAATATTCACACCACACATTGCCTTCAGGCACGACATCTCTACTGCCTCCACCCTCCTCCTCACTGCAACACTCAAAACCCATGTTTCAGACCCCTACAGCAGTGTTGGTACTACTATGCTTTGGTACGTTTCCCCTTTTTGCTTTTATGCACAACCTACATTTTTACCTTTTTAAGTTCTGTGGGTTACCTCATCTCATAGAACCATTCATCATTAAGTTCACTCTCAAATATCTGAAAACATTCACTTCCTCCATACTCCCTTTAGTCTGATATCCAGTCTCTCTTTGCCAAATTTTTCTTTTTTTATATTTTCATTTCATTGCTCTTTCTAAGTTTACCTTTAATTTCTTTCTTTTACATACTCTCAAATTTGTTTAACAACCATACCACGGGCGGGATTTGAACCCGCGGTCAGAGTGTCTCAAAACTCCAGACCGTCGCGTTAGCCACTGGGCCAGCTAGCTTCAATAAGATTCGTCCAACTAGGTATATTTCTACACCATAGGAAGGTTAGCATAGGCACCACTGTGTCCACAAATGCAAGTTTTTACAGACAAATCTCCCAAAAGAACTGTCATCAGCAAACAGCAACTGTGACAACTCCCACTCCATACCAGATTCATTATCTTTCAGTCCCTTGCCTCTCTCAAGTGCCCTTGCATACATGTCTTTTATAACCCCCATCTATAAGTATATTAACCATGATGACATCACATACCCCTGTCTAAGGCCTACTTTTACTGGAAAATAATTTACCTCTCTCCTACATACCCTAACCTGCACCTCACCATTCACATAATATCTGCTACTTTAAGTAACCCCACCCACTAGAATCTAGATGAAAGGTTTGGTGTATTTTGATTGAGCTTGTGGATTGTCAGTTCAATTGAATTTATTACAGCTTGCAAAATTTTTATCACCATTATTTTCTGATGCATTATTTTACTGTATTCATTGATAAACAACTTACCCTATATTCTTTAACCCTTTGAGGGTCGACAGGCCCTCTCCGAGACTCGTTCTCAGGGTCGGCCAAATTTAAAAAAAAAAAAAATATTTTTTCTTATGAAAAGATAGAGAATCTTTTCCTGATCATAATGACACCAAAAGTATGAAATTTGATGGAAAACTTACGGAATTATGCTCTACCGAAGTGGGGTGGTCGGCGTTTTTACGCTCGGCGATTTTGCCCACTTTCACCCCCCATTTTCGGCCAATTCCACTGTAAGTTGACAAAAACTATATTTCGCAGAACTCCTTTTTTTCTTCGAATGAGTGAAAGAAACTACCCTTTATAAATTTCAACTACCAATACAGGGTCGAATTTAGCTTTTTCCCAAAATTTCACAAAAAATTTCCCAAAGATGCCAATTTCCGAATGGGGCCCAGAATAAACAAGAAAGACTTTCCCGGCACTAAAATGACATTTCCTCGTTCATTAGTCACGTTCAAGGCCCCCTTACATTTTTTTGCTTTTTATTTGAAAATTTTTATCTCATAAAAAATAGAAGATTTACTGTTAGCAACTACGCATTGTGTAAAAAAAGGTATAAAATAATATTGGGCACTTGCAAAATAATATTATACAAACCCGTTGCGTGTATTGGGCATTTGGAAAGATTTGTTTTACTTTTTAACTTTTTAAAAAACAAAAAATTTCTGTACTTTTAGCTCAACTTCAAAGACTTTTCATTGTAAAAACCATCAAAAAACCTCAATTTCGTAATTGTCTTCCATTCTATAAAATAGCCAAGAAAACTAAAACAACAATAAATACCATACGAAAATACAGTGCAAAGTCGTTGTTTTATTCCAAAAAAACGGTCAAAGTTTTTTTTTTTTCTCATTACGCACTGTGTGCTGCAGGATTTTTTTTTATACTGTGCACACTGACCACATAGACCCATTCTTTCATAAGTAGGCCTACCAGCTTTCTCCCACTAGATTTGAGGGCGCTAGAATTTAGGCGTACTAGTACGTCAAAAACCCTGGGTCGTAAGCCGTACTAGTACGGCCGAAACCCTCAAAGGGTTAATACATTAAATTGGGTTGGGCAAATGTTTTGTTAGTGGGATAAATTGTTAAGGACCTGCCTAGTATGGGCCAGCAGGCCTCCTGCAGTGTTCCTCCATTCTTATGTTCTTATGTTATCCCTTTCAGGGTTCAGACTCCTGATCTGGAAATTGCTCTCTGTGTCGAAGAATTCCTCCCCCCCCCCCCAAAATATGAAATGATAAGAGAATTTTTATCCGAAGGTAATGAAACCAAAAGTATGAAATTTGATGGAAAACTTATGGAATTCACTCACTCAAAGTTAGTGGTCTCAGCGATATTTATGCATCGCTGATTTAAGCCAATTCCATTGTTCCAGTTGACCAAACTCTTAGCTATATCACTAGTATGCCTTCCATTGTATTGATTGAGTACAAGAAGCCACCCATTTAACTATTTCAACTATCCAAAAAGTGATTAGAAATTGGTAATTTGGCTAGTTTCACACAAAATTAAAAAATTGACGATTGAAAAATAGGGTCCAGACTAAACAGTGTAGACATTCCTGACACTAAAGCATTTCCTCTGTTCATTAGTTACATCCTCAGGCCTCCTGTATTACACTTGCTTTCCATTTTTAATTTTTATTCACACAAAAATACAAGATTTGCTGTTACGTAGACTACTGCAATATTGTAATAATTGTACAAATGATATCAGTGCATTTGTGAACCTGTATTAGATCGACCGGTTGGACACATATTGAATGAGTTATGTAATTTGTATCCTCTGGAATATCGGTAAAATTCAAACACTTCTGCTACTTTGAGCTCGATTTCAAGCTACTTCTAGTTAAGAAACCAATCAAAATCATCATTATTACTGTAATATATCTTCCATTCTGTCAAATGATACCAAGAAACCGAGAATAAACCCATAAAAAACATCCAAAAATACACTGAAGAGTTGCTATTTTAAACCGTAAGTGCAGTCAGTTTTATTTTCCCATCATGAACTGCGTGGAGCAAGATTTTCTTTATATGGTGCACACTCACCACATTTTCTCATATCTAGGCCAAAATTTACAGGTTACAGCTTATCTGAGTGAGCTGAGCTCATCACATACATCTGCTGCAGTGACCCAGAGCTCAAATCCGTAGTACTACAGTACTGACCTCGAAAAGGTTAATCACGCTTTCTCTTATCTATTCTGTGATTTTTGCTCTGTCTTTCATAGGCACATCTGTTGCACAAGTGTCTCATTCTTCAACTTGATGATTTTCAAAACCATTTTCATCACGTCTGCTAATGCACACATCCCCAGTTATATAAATATGTTCAGTTCATCCATACTCCATTTTCTTCCACTCAGACGGTCACTTTTCCGCTACCTGGATGTCTTCTCGTTTTCATTACCATGCTTTTTTCTGTGTTCATTTTTTTTTTTTACACACTTCCAAACTTATCCAACCTTTGTAACTTCTCTTCTGAATCTCTTAAAAACACTGTCTTTGGAAGAAAGCGACTGTGACAAACTCCCACATAGGCAGATTAATTATACATTAGTTTTAATATTCCAGGCTGCAGTACTTTGCCCGAGTTTCACAGGCATATCAGAAACGCTTAAGAGAGGCATTAGCCAACAAAACTGGCGAGGAACTGAAGACTGAAGAAAACAAAATCAAGCTGATAGCTCTCAAAACTACAGCCAACATCAATATACTCATCAAAGATCTTTTTCACCAGCCTCCATCTTATAAGGTAAAACCCCTGTAATGTGTGTTAGTGTAGTGTTTATCACACTGACAGCACTGTGCATTTCTAATAGTATCTTAAAGTTCAGGCACATTCCAAGGTGTGTTGTTGGTAAGGTATTGCAATAAAACAGGTTTTTGGTTGCACTCATGAGTTTAATCATATTTCTCTAATTTTTTTTTTTTAATAACAATGAAAAGGACATTAAAATCTACAAGAGTAGCCACTTTTACTCAAAAATTAATGTATTTATAACCCAAAATTTTAAACTAGTGGTGAATTGGATGAGTATGTAAGTTACATCTGGTAATGTGCTCCAGGGATCATTGCCCTCATGGCCTGGTTTCAAACCAGGCTTTAAATTTGAAAGAAAACATTGCAAGAAAAGGAACTAGTACCTATCTGGGTGGTTGCTATTTACCTACCTATTGCTATACAGGAAGGCCCCACTTATACGGCTGGTTAGGTTCCAGGCTACCTCCGTAATGCGGAAACCGCCGTAAAGTGGAACACCCTTTTTTTCCACTTACAAATGCATACAAACACTAGATAACAAGTTTACACTAACATATATTAAGTTAGCAATAGAACCAGGCATCAAAAAACAATAAAAAAGTACAATACATACATAGTGCACTCATTACTTACCTTAAAATATTTATAGTCTTAATCTAGGGTGAGACAAGTAGTATTTATTGTAAGAAATCAAGTGTGGTATGTATGGTAGTCAGCCAGGCTACCATACCAGGCCACCCCACCCACACATACAATTCTATGATATTTAAGCATCCCAGAGCGATAAAATGTATATACAGTTCACTCATTACTTACCTTAAAATATAGGATGAGATGAGTAGTATTTATTGTAAAAAATCAAGTATGGTATGTATGGTAGTCAGCCGGGCTACCATACCAGGCCAACCCACCTACACATAATATTCTATTACATTTAAGCATCCCAGAGCGATAAAATGTATATACAGTTCACTCATTACTTACCTTAAAATATTTGTAGTCTTAATGTAGGGTTAGGAGTAAGTAAATGAGATAAAACGAATAAATGAGAGAGAGAAAGAATGAGTGCATGAGAGAGGACTGGCGCAGAGTTATGTAAACAAACCAGGCGAAGGTAAGTTTTGCAAACGAAGTGTACACGTCTGGTTTGTGTGCAAGTTACATTGTGTACAGGTTGTCTCTACATTGATACGGTAGAATAAATAAAGAAGAACACTCCATCTCGTGTAACATCATTTTGAGAAGAAATGATGCTCTGAGTGAAGGCAATGGAAATAAGTCACTCTGACTTTTTTGGGTTATCCTAGGTTCTCTACACATATGTTGTTATGTATGATAATCTATGTAACTGTATTTGTGTATACCTGAATAAACTTATTTACATACATACGAAAGGAATAATTTTCTACAGTTACCCCCAGTAACACATTTTCTCTTATGTTAGATTAGAGAAAATGTTATTCTTGGCATCACTTGTACAAGTTATCTGGCTACCACATCTCATATTTATGTTTATTTATTCTATTGTAGGGTGTATTTATCATCTTTTTATGTTATGTATCGTGTTTTATATAATTTTGAAAAAAATATCATGGATGGATTAATGAAAATGTGTATATTAACATAATATACAACATTTAATGAGACTCGGTGATTATTATTATTATTATTAGCATTTCTAATATGGCGTCACTTGTGCAAGTCGTCTGCTACCACATCTCATATTTATGTTTATTTATTCTATTGTGGGGTGTATTTATCATCTTTTTATGTTATGTATCGTGTTTATTATATAATTTTGAAAAAATATCATGGATGGATTAATGAAAATGTGTATTTAACGTAATATACGACATTTAAATGAGACTCGATGATTATTATTATCATTACTAATATGACGTCTGGATCATAAGACACTCTTACTGATTTTAATGTGTACCTGCATGCCAGTACAGTATGTAAGTTTATTTAAGTACAGGTATACATAAGTATAATTATCAGAGTATATATAAAATATGAAATAACTTTTAAAAACATTTGAAATTTTTGAGTTTCCAGACAAAATGGAGAGACTTAGTGCTTACTGAGCTCACGAAGAATGTAAACAAACAGGGTGGGGCGCGGTGACCGTATTAGAAAGTCAGGTGGGGGGAGCCGTATAGCGAGTTTTGGTCATAATTTGAAATGACCGTATTAGCGGAACGCCGTAAAGCGGGGCCCTCCTGTATATGGTTTTTGGGACTTTGAGCTGTTAGTATGAGCAGGTTATATTTTGTAAAGGGATTCAGGGGAAATAGTCAGCTGGACTTTAGTTGTATCTGCATGCATCTAGCAAGGCAGTGATGGTGTGAATGATGGTGAAAGTGTTTCTTTTTTGGGTCACCCTGCCTAGGTGGGAAGTGGTCAGTTTCAAAAAAAAAAAAAAGTTGATTTTTGCCACACCCAAGTATCGTGCAAAAGTACCAGCTTGCGACTTAGAGCTACAAGGGTGTGGTGCCTTGAAGGATTGTAGGATTGATATCCGAACTGAACACAGCTGTTTAATAAAAAGTTATGAAACTGAAATCGAGAACAAAAAAATATTAAAATTGGAAAAAACAATCTTGCAGATTCTTCCAGAGAGCCCCAGAAATGTATATAAAAATACAAAATATGAGTACATATAATAATGGTTATATACTATTTTCTTTCATAAATTAAATTCAAAAATGTTTTTTTACATTATGTGGATTAATGTTTGATGTATGTTGATAAAAATCTTTTTTAATGCATTTTCATTATAGGCAAGTATTGCACTATCATGGAAACCAGCCTCTGCAGCAGGGAAGGCAATGACAAATGGAGCAGAGAAGCGACATCCACCCATCACATACGATTCCAGCAGCCCCAAGAGCCACAAGGAAGAACGTCCCATTTATGCTCCACCAAAAGACAAGTACAGCCAGAGAGCAGGCCAATACTGTAAGTTGTATAATTATGCATAATTGTCTGTAGTTTACATGTTTATTTGCAGTGTTATATTGAAAGAAAAGATGTATGCCTCCTGACTTTGGGGCTTAGTTTGTCAATTATTTATTTATATATTGGAGGCAGGAAAGAGAATGTACCTGAGTATGGTAGTACCAATACTTCTTTATATGAATGTGAAGTGTGGGTTTTAAAATCTGTATTAATGAGGTGGCTAGAGGCAGCAGAGAGATCATGTTTGAGAGCAGTGTGGTGTGAATGTCATGCAGAGAATTCTGAGCATAGAAATTAACATGATGTGGGTTCATCAAGGGTATAATTCAAGGGCTGAGGAGAGGTGGTTGAGGCAGTTTGGGCATATAAAGAGAATGGAGAAGGAAAGATTAACAAAGAAGCTTTGAGTTTTATGGGCTTGAGCATCCAGCAGGCTTGTGAGAGCATGTTAGACAGGAATGAATGGAGACAAGCAATTTTTACTGAACATGCTGTTCGAATGTGAGCAGGGTAACTTTTATGAAGGGATTCAGGAAAACCAGTTAACCAGACTTGAATTCTGGAGATGAAAAAAGGCAGTGTCTACATTCAGGAGAGGTGGGAATGTTACATGCATAGGCTGATCTAATTATGATGTCAGCACACTTTGGAAAGATGGCAGTTAAATGAATGATTGGTGAATGTTTTTTTTCTTTGGGTCACCCTGCCTGTGTGGAAGACAGTGATGAAAAAAAGTGTTTAATATGCTTTGTTGTTTTGGATCCTATTCCAGCTGTACAATGAATAAATATTGTTCTTGCAGATTCATTATTTAATTGACAATTGTGGACTTCTAATTCTCCCCATTCATGATACTGTATTGAAAAAATCTTCAATGTTATTGTTATATATTCTTTTTCCCGTCTTGTATACCAATGAGAGGAATCTCTTTATTTTCAATTTTTCTTTGTACTGTAGTTTCCTGGCATATAAGGCACGATATAAGACATGCTTTTTTCCCCACAGAAAGTCTTGGAGAATCGGCCTGCACCTTATATGCTCAAGGTCTGGGTCAAGGGTAGGCTTTGGGTTACACTTTACCAGTTGTTTACTAATGTTACGTTACAATTGCTTGCACACATCGCCTTATATGCTCTTGCGTCTTATGTGCCGGAAAAAAACAGTAATTCGTATTTCTTAAATCTTGATATTTTATGTCATAGTTTTGGACTTTCTACCTTTCAAAATTTTTACTTTGTTTTTTGGTGAAGACATGGTGCTGTAGCTGCATATTCTGATTCATAGTTTACAATTTCTTTTATTACAATATACTTTTTCTCTTTTTTCCTTTACTTTTGTAATTGAAACTTATAACTGTTTTAAGAAATTCAGAATTTTCCAAAAGTAAAATGTTTGATTTGTATTTGCTTTGTAATATGAACTTTGTAAAAATCACTTTTTATTGTAATTTTCTTACCTTCACACCCATCTAATGCACTTTTTTATTTAATAAATTTATGACTGTTTCATACGGAGAATGTAAGATCAAGGAAAAGGGTAAGTAATTGGTCTAATAATAGCTCGTGTCATATTCTCTTCCTGCAGCTGGTGGAAATTTCCGGGGTCGAGGCAGGGGACGAGGAAGAGGCTTTGGGTTTGCTTCCAGCCGAGGGCCCATCTTCCGCTCCAGCTTCAGAGGGAGGCGAGGAAGTTTCAGGCCCTATTAATAAAAATTATGGAAAAAATGAAAACAAAAGAGAGACTTTTAGAATGTGGACAAATTGTGATGGGCACAGAAGGACACACTAAAGGTCTTAAAATACAAAATGGTGTAGGACAGAAGTTGATACAGCACAAAGGCCAAGAAAGTTTTTCACAAATTCTTAAAGGGTACCTGAATGGAAAATTATCAAAAAGCTTCTTTGACATTCATTAAGTTCTTTTGAAATGAGTATGATTTTGGGTCTCTTGTATATAAAAAATAAAATGGAAAATTTCATTAGACATTTTAAGATAAGACAGCAACAGAATTCTCTTACATTAATATTCATGAGCTATAATTACTGAAGTTACAGGACTCCTGAACAGATCAAAAATTCTGTATATAAACTTAAACTTATGCAAATTACTGATGAATCAGTAATGAAACTCTATATGATCATTTAAAAATTGTCTTAGTTTGTGAACTAAATCTAGAAAATTATTTTCCATAATAGAAGATATTATGTGGCCAATTAAAACAATAATGTGACTTAGAGAAGTACAGTACCATATAAGCTTGGGAAATGCTGTTTTAGAATATATTGTTTGAAGGGACCATGTTACTGAAAACATCCTCTGTGGTTTACTTTTAAAATTGTGCAAAGAGCTTTCTAAGTTTCATCCATTGTTTAACCTCCCCAGGTTTTACTTTGTAAGATAGTCAGTTAGATGTAGCAATTACTAGGGCAAGAAGCAAGTGTGCTTTCTCTTGATTTTCTTCCTTGGGGAACCAGCAAAGATTGTTAAGCTGGGCGTAGTGATTGCAGTAAATGTTAATTATATAGTAATACTGGCTAAATTTTTAGCCATTTAATGATAGATACTACACCAAGATCTGTAAAAGCTTTTATTTTACAATGTTGCTGTTATAATTTTTCTTTTAAACTGTATATTGACCCATGGCCACCTACAAGTGAACCTGCTCTTCAGCATATGGTTAAATTGTGTAACAACAGACATTTTGTTGGCCCCTCTTCAACATTTGAAATGTGTGCCTCATAAATGTTTGACAAAGAAACACTGGAACACTTCAAGAGCCATAAGGATTTTCTTCTAGCGTGGTATAGCAGTGTATTCTGCTATACAGGAAGATCCCTCAGCAGCTACATGGTATCCTTGTTGCTCCTCACCTCTCAGCTGCAACAAACCGGCAACTCATGGATGATGCAGTTAAGATTTTTTTTTTTTTACTTTGTATGCAAAATCACACTCGGTTTGGCATGTTTAATTCCAGGTTTTCCGGTGGTTTACTTCTTTGATTAAAGAGATTGGTTATGCTGATCGTAGAGATGTATAATTTACTTTGTTCTTACTAATGCCCCTTTTTTGACAGGATAAAATGGTATAACTGGTCAAATTTACATACCAGTGTACTGATAAGGTGCAGTCCAGAAATGTGCATGGTGAGTTTCTGCAGTTAATTGATCCTTTCAAATAACACAATCTTATTTTCATAAGACATTTAATGGTATTGGATTGTATTTCATTATATTCATATTGATTTTCTTTTCAGATTAATCAAGATTGTAATAAAGATTCTAATGACAGTCTGCTAATGCTTTAGCATTTGTATATAAAATATTTTTATAATAACATTGTTTCCTAATGAAGAATTTTCCCACAGAAAATTTTCACATGGTTGTTCAGCTGTTAAATGTGTGGCTGTCACTGTTTAGTATCTGACTTCTTGTTCTTGGAATTTTCCTTCTTTTAGGGAATGGCATCTCGTGGACTCTTCTGGTAAGCATTTCATTTGTTTTCAGGTGTTAATGACTATGAAGCACTAATCAAAACAAGTAAAATATTGAACATGTTAGTTAGGCTGTCATGCTGATGAAGCAGTTACTACAGTTGAACCACTTACATTCTGAAGTGTTGCTTAATCCCAAAGGAATCTCTTTAATTTGTGTGCTCTGAGTATGTTGGTTTAAATAATGTGATGCAGGGTGAAGGGCAGCAGTACCTCTTGTTGACCCACCTAGCTGCTTGATACCACAATCAACCTTCATATTTTAGTCACAAGTGACAAAGTTTGAAAACTGAATTTTATCTGATATTTATCAAATTCCAGTATTCTACTTCAATATA